CCCCAAAACCCCAAAACCCCAAAACCCCAAAACCCCATATCACCAATTAGTCATCAGAATTTGAACATTCTGGAAAAGATATTCTTATAGAATTTGCTGTATGAGAATATGCTAATTTCCCACAGCATTAAAATGATTAGTTTATTGAAACTTCGAGCAAAGCATTATATCTTGTGTGTTAACCACTTCCATCCAATGTTTTTATAATAAACATAAGTATATTTCATTTTTTTCTTGATTTGCAGAACATTTCACCATTATCAAGCTAAAACGTTTGAACTTTACCTAATATCTTAATTTATGTCAAATAATTTTAAAATCTTAACTATTAAAAATCTTTTCACATGGAAAGCAAACTAACTACTTCCCTCAAGTCCCTTCTCTCAGCTTAGAGACTAGATAAAAAATACGTTGTGCTATCTCTCGATGGAGGTGGAGTCAGAGGACTGATGACAGTTGAAATTTTAGTTGAAATTGAAGATCATCTCAGAAAATCACTCGGAAATCCACACTTGAAGATAACAGATGTTGTAGACTGTGTCATTGGAACTTCTGCTGGTGGACTTATTGCCTGCGCACTAGCAAGCGGTAAAAGTGCTAATGAACTCAAAGTATTGATGCCCTAAATCATTGGTAACACATTTAAAAATCCAAAAAGTATGAGGAAGAGACTCAGAGAAGCTGCTTATGATCATAAAAATCTTGAATCAGAACTTATTGAAAAACTTGGAGCTGATAAGGTCACCCTTGGCCAACTCAAAGAAAGAAATCCTAATTTAAGATTATGTATTACTGCACTCTTATACGATCCTAATGGAAAGGCTGGAAAATTCACTCCTGTTGTATTTGATAGTGAAAATGAAGCAGATAAGAACAGAACTCTGCTCTCAGTTGGAAGAGCAACATCTGCTGCTCCAACTTATTTTGAAGGAAGTAAAATGGAAGATGGAAAAGTTTACTTTGACGGTGGTTGCTTTGCAAATGATCCATCAAGTTGGGGAGTTATTCTTGCATCAACAAAGGTTAAACTAGATAGCATTAGATTAGTTTCGGTCGGTACAGGATACGCAGACCCTGAACCATAATAAACTAAACCTCCTGAAGAGGATGATGAAGGTGGCTTTTTAGACAGTTGCTGGAATGGTCTGAGCAGTTATGTAAAATCCACAAAGGATTATTTGTTAACTGCTGCTAGCTTTAAGGATAATGGAGGAGATAAGAAAGGTATCTCTGATTGGGTGAATGCTGAACTCATTGGTTCTTTAATTTTCGATGTTCAGAAATAAGTTGAAGAAATCATGAAGATCATGAAACCAGGAATGGAGAACCATTTTTGGAGACTTAACCCAAAAACAGACAAAGAATTCAAACTTGATAATGCTGATGAAGATTCCTAGAGATAAATGTCAGCTGCTGTTCAAAAATATATTCACTAGGAAGCCACTCAAGCTGCCATTAGGGATCTAACTTCAACTTTGAGTCAGCCAGATGACTTTGAAGCGAAAGCTTTAAAATATTTAATGAAAGCAGCAAATATGATTGAATTCTCCCTTCAACACAGGAACTCTGAAAATTAAAAGAGAGCAAGAAAGGCTGCTAAGCTTTTGAAAGTCATGCAAACCCACTATTAAGAAGCTGTTGAGAAAGTTACAGACGACGAGATCTTGAAAGAAAAGGCAGGCATTGAAACTTTCATTAATCTTCAGTCAAACAAGAAAAAGTCTGAAGTATATAAGACAGTAATCAGAAAGTAGCTAAAGACAGACACCTAAAATGCATAAGAAAATACTTAATGAGTATTTAATATCATTTATCAATCATTTTTAAGCCATATCTTCATAATATTCTAGTTACGGGGTTTTGGGGTTTTGGGGTTTTGGGGGTTAGAATGTAGTTGTTG